CAGCCAGAATGCTCTCACATCTAGTGGACCCATAATTTCATCCCAGTGGGTCAAGGAAGCACATACTTCGGTAATATACTTGTACAGTCGACTCTTTCTTTGCTGAATCCTCTGTCTCAGTGCACTTATACAACCCTCGTGGGTCCAGGATGCCTTTTCCCAAGTTCAGTGTTTTATTTTTGGTAAACCATACTTTCGCCGTTCCCTCTAGATACACAATGCTGGTATTGCAACTCACAAATACTTGGTCCTCATATTCAATCACCGGTATCTTGTAGGAGCTCCCTAAGAGGGAAAACACCACAATCAGAGCAGCTCTCTGGTGCGCAGCTGATCCACCATCCTGCTGCAGTGCATACTTATGGACCATTTGTGTAGTAAGGGACATGACTCCTAGTGAAAGGGGCAGAAGGGACCAAAGGAAGACTTCAGGAAGTTCTCCAGGAACTGTATGGCCATGGAGGACATGAGGTCGTAATCTAAACAGAAGAGATTGTCCAAATTATCTGTAACTGTCAGCTTACCTCAGCCTAAAGTCACCTGAAAAGAGTCTCTAATTGAAGGATTGCCTACATCAGATTGGCCCTGTGGACATGTCTAGTATAAGGGATTGCCGTGATTATCTTACTGATGCAGGGGAGTCCAGACCACTGTGGGTGGCACAATTCCTTGGGCAGGTGGGTCTGGGCTGTATAAGGAAGCTAGCTGTAGCTGGGCGGTGGTGGCACATGTCTTTAATCCAAGCTTTCAGGAGACAGAGGCAGGCAGATCTCTGTTAGTGTGAGGCTAGCCTGGTCTACAGATCGAGTTCCAGGACAGGCTCCAAAGCTACACAGGGAAACCCTGTCTCAAAAAATGAAGGAAAGAGAGAAGAGGGGAGGGTAGGAGGGAGGGAGGGAGAGAAGCAAGCTAGCCATACAATCATAAGTCAGCAAAGCAGCCAGAAAGAGCATTCTTCCACGGCTTCTACCTTAAGCTCCTACTTGACTGTCTACCCTGACTGCCCTTAAAGATAGACTGACCTGAACTTGTAAGCCAAATAAATCCTTTCCTCCCTTAAATTGCTTTTGGTCACAGTTTTTTTTTTTTTTTTTGGTTTTTTGAGACAGGGTTTCTCTGTATTGTCTTGGAGGCTGTCCTGGAACTCGCTTTGTAGACCAGGCTGGACTCGAACTCACAGAGATCCGCCTGGACTCGAACTCACAGAGCTCCACCTGCCTCTGCCTCCGGAGTGCTGGGATTAAAGGTGTGCGCCACCAACGCCCGGCTTTGGTCAAAGTATTTTATTACAGCAGAATTCAAACTGGGACACATATCCTGTGTGACTTGGGGGCAAAAGAGAAAACCATGAAGCTGGGTTGATCCAAGAACCCTCCTGAAAATAGGTTCAGACCACCAATTAGACTGTTCAGGTTCCCCAAGAGACCTGGGAAGGCAGCAGAAGTTCTTAGCCCGGAGATTGTGCCTTTTATACTAAAGACGTCTAATTCCTCTTCCTAGCCAACAACTCTCTCACTTCAACTTCTCATCCTCTCCACTCTGAGATCTGCCAGGGTAATGAGATGCTCACTATGAAAGTCTTTTCCAGGGCCATTGACCTCTGGGACAGAGAGGACCTATATGAACTACCAGCCCAGTGATCCAGATTTCCCAGGGCAAAGCCTATGTAAGAAGATTCGCTGAGAACATAACTCAATGCAGAGGCATGCATAACATCCTAGATTAGATCTCCAGTACTATATATATACACATATATATGTGTATGTTTATATATATATTGACATGGTGACTTGCATCTGTAATCTCAGCACTTGAAAAACTGAGACAGGAGAAGGCCCCCTGAGACAGCAAAGGCCAACCTGGGCTATATAATGAGTTCCAAGGCAACCTGGGCTAAGTGAGATCCCATAAAAAATTAAATAAATAAATAATAAATAAACAAACAAATAAATAAATAAAAAGTAGTACTGTCAGCGGCAACTGGGACAGAGGCACAGGCACTGTCACCTGCAGCAACCTGAGGCGTTCCTTTAGTCTTTGAGGAAATTTAACTCAAGTAAAACCCGATCTTCTCCTTCAACAGAAAATTTTAGGATGAGACAAACTGGGGTTTATCTAATGTAATTTACCAAATATGTATATCTTAAACATGAGTGTTAAAGAAAGAGGCTTTCCAGAAGGCTTCCCAAGGAGAGATGCACCATATGTCTTTACAACAACCGTATACACTGTTTTGGTGGATTTTGAAGTTCTTATCCAGAGTTGTTAAGAAGCCTAATTGAATTCACAGGGTGGTTGGTATGGGCATCTGATAGGACTACAATTGATTGAATAAAAGTCTAGAACTGAGGATGCCAGAAGACAGGAGATATTCACTGTAAACAAAGTAAGTAGTCTTTTTTGTGAGGCCCTACCCAAGGTCACACACACCCAGGCACTAAGACACTCTTGTTGCTATTTTAGTACCAAATACCTATATAGGAAAAGAATAGCACATGGGCAACCTTCACAGCAAATGTTCATTGTGCTGCAATTCTCAAGTCTCAGCAAGTGAGAGGCTTCAACTAGTTTCTAGGAGGAAAGTGCCTTTCCCTTCTGTGTCCCTATAATTTTCCCTGTCTTTCTAGCCTACCTCGGTGCCACACTTGCTTAAGGAGAAAGGGCCACACACAAAAAAAAGAAGCATATCAAGTCAGTTTCTGAGGTTCCATATAGGTCAAGTCTTGTTGGGGTTGTGTAGGAGCCAGAGATGAGCAGAGTGGCCCTTCCCAGACAGCCAAGAACATCTCACAACCACAGGGCACTGCCATGTCTTCTGCCAGCAGCAGCAAAGATGGAGCTTTTGTGTCTTTGAGCTTCATGCTTAGCAGCCAGTATGAATGCAAGAGCGTCCTCCAGAGCTCCAAAATGGCTGCCCCTCCGGTCTCTGAAGCAGGAATGGGTATGAGCATGCTAGAGAAAACATAAGTGCACACAGTCCTTCTCCTCTTACAACTTCTTTGGAGTTATTTCCAGAGAAAGCTTTGGTGGCCAGGACAGCTTTTAGAGTGACCCTTTGACCCAGTTTCCTGGGGACGGCTGAGTTCTTGAGATGTGAGCTTTCCAGGGTTACTTTGGGGGTGGTTTGGCTAGTACTCTTGAACTATTAGAGATATACCCATGAGCTATCTACCCAGCCCAATTTTCTGTTTTAAAAGTGAACAAACTGAGAAGAGCTGATTTTAATATATTTCCTGTCCGTCCTTCGCACTGAGATAAAGCTAACTTTTTTCTAAGATTGCTTCTTAATTCTGATCTGGGGCTCCAAGTGGTCACATAATGATGGCCAATGACCAAGAATCCTATTCCAGGAGGCCATTTGCCTTAGAAGATGCAATGGGTGTAACTTCTTCCATTACCAGCCTTAGGCCCAGGCATATGCAATGTGAAACTTTTTCCTACAGATGTCTGGTCTCAGGCCCTTGGAGATACCATTAAGACCAATGTGAGCCTTGCCTGGAGTAGGTCAAAGCTAAATGCTTGTCACCTATAGTCCAACCCTGCCCTTCTGACCTTCCCCTGCCTGGTAAACTAAAGCCAGCATTGAGATGCACTTTCCAGTGAACTTCTTCCAGTGGTAACGTCCCTCTCAAGTCCCTTCCTCCACACAGCTGAAGATGCCTCACTTACCTCGAGGGAGAAAAGCAGCCAGTATCAGACCAGCCAGAATCCCGCTATGTTCCATCTTCCAGAAGAATTCATCCACCAAATAGAGGTAAGCCACAGAACGATCACCCAGGGTGAGCACTACCCTCCACCAATGGACTCATGGGTATTAAGAAACAGGAAGAGTGGGGGAGGGACTAGAAGAAATCTGCCTCTCTGCCTTTGATGATAGGAGGCTGTCAAGGCAAGAGTAGACTGGGGGGATGGTAAGAAGGAAACAGGTGCAAACTGCTCTTTCTGGAGCAGAGTTTGGGAGTAAGGGAAGAAAGCTTAGGCTTCCTGTCGACAACACCACTACATTTACTTACAAACAAGAAAGTTTACCTCTTCAGATCCATTGAGAGAAGCTATGAGCCCCATGACATGAGCTGCATCAGCAGTTCCTCCCACTCATTTCCGGCCAGTCTCAGGACCCTTCACCGGACAGTCTGAGGAAACACATTAAGCTGCTTCTAGCCAGATGGACTTCAGAACCCCTAAGCCAGACATCCAAATCCTAGATCCAGCATGTAGTACCCACGGCACCAAGCACAGAGTATTTCAGAGCTTGTCCCCCTTGGTGTCACTATAAGGATTAGAGGAGGGGTGTTTCCGTGGTTCCTGCCACACCAAGCCTTCTCAGTGTGAGATTCTCCTTAACAATAAACCCACTCACTTGAAGAATTGAGTCTCCCCAGCAGACAATAGACTTTTTCTACTACAGACTGTGGGGATCTGAGACTTTCCATACTACCACAGTCGGAAGGTCCTCTTCCTGGGGGACAGGACTGTTTCATGCCTGGTGTCATATAGAAGTTCTGTGAATTTTTATTACCCACTGACTGGCCGAATGAGACAATGGACTTAAAGCCTGGAAATAGCCCAGGGCTGTACACCAAAAAATAAGCTAGCTGTCCTGGTGGGATGGGCCTACCTATTTTCAGGTAGGTACCACTTTGATGCTCTCAAATTGCTCATGAAGGTCTACACTAAGATGTTTTTCCATTCTAAACTCCAGCCCTACACACCTAAAATCCTACCTAAATCCATGAGTTCTGGGATCAAGTGACAAACAAATCTAGTCCTAGTAATAGCTACAGACAGTCCTCAACCCATTAAGCAAAGAGGTTCTAAGTATAAGGGTTTCCAATGGGAATCTAGAACTCTCGCTCTTACTCCCTGCTACCTGCCATCCTGAAAGCCTTAACAACAACAAAAGCAATATGCCTGTGCAACAGCATCCCTTCTGGGGCCCCTGCTGCCCACATTTTAAGTAGAGGGTGGGGACACTGCTCTGCTCAGAGCCCCAGCTCAGAGGATGCTGGGCGGAGCCAGGCTAGCTGCTACACAGGCCGGCTAGCTGACTGCTGAGGGACTTCCACACTTCTACTAGAGAGGAAAGAGACTGACATGGAGCAGAAGAAGGGACTGATCAGCCTCATCCTGGTGATCTTTCTTCTTCAAGGTAAGAGTTTACTCTGAGGGTCTGACAGCCTGGGGAAGGCTCATGAGACGAGGCCATGACCAGGGAGGCAAGGTTATTGGAATCCTGATTAACCTTAGCCAACTTCATCTGTCATCTTAGAGTTCAAAGAAGGAGAGGCAAAACCGAAGCCTTCAGCTGTTCTCTGCTGGAGAGATGCATGGGAACCAGAGGGCTAAAACTGGTTAGAGAGAGGATTGCACTGCCGCCATCTTAGGCTTGAATGTAGTTCAGAATGGCCGTGCAGCTGGGGTAATGACTCGACCAGTAAGGTGCTTGCTTACCATGCAAGCATGGGAATGTGAATTCAGTCCCCAGGACCCACTAACAATGAGGGGGTGGTAGCACACTCTTGTCATCATAGTGCTGGGAAGGCAGAGACTGATGGATCCCAAGACTTCCTAGCAGGTCAGCCAGCCTCAATTAAATTACACACACACACACACACACACACACACACACACACACACACACACACACCACAGCCCAGACAAGGAAACTGGGAGAAAAAAGGTATGTTCAGTGACCTATGGAACATTTGTCCACAAAGCTATTTAACTGATCAGCAAGCACGGCGAGATCCAGACATGTGAGACGCCAGAGAATAAAAAGATGAACAAAAACCTTCTGTTCTCAAGAGTTAAGAGTGTCGATGGAGGGGGCTTTCACTGCTGACACACTGAGTACAAGGGGCAGCATGGGATTACCTGTGTGAAATATCCAACAGGAAGTAGATGAATTAGGCTGATACCTTCATACCCTAGGGGAAGCTAAAGTCATGAAAATTATCCGATTTGTCCATGTGGTTGTTTGTTATGTGTTTGTGTGTGAGGCTGTACGCATGCCATGGTACATATATGGAGGTCAGAAGACACCCTGAAGGAAATGGCTCTCTCTTTTCAGTACGTGGAGCGAGAATCAAACTCAGGTCACCAGGCTCAGCAGTGAGCACTTTTACCTACTGATCCGTCACAGTGTTCCTCCCTCCCTTCCTTTTTAACAGGGTCTTACTATGTAGCTCAGGTTAGCCTGCCACTCATATGCAATCCTTTTACCTCAGCCTCCTGAGTGCTGGTGTTATAGGCATAAGCTACCGTATCCGGCTAAAGGCCTGATAATTGTTAAAACTATAACACTTTTTTGTAGTGTGCCAAGAACACAGAATGGAGGATGGAGCTATGAGGAGCCAAGAGTATAAAATATTTGTTGGATGTAGCAGCATCTAAACTCAATGCTCTGGAGGTAGAGGTAGGAAAGTCAGAAGTTCCAGGACAACCTGGGCTACATAGCAAACTCTAGGTCAGCCTAGACTGTATGAGCCCTGCATCAAAACAACAAACAGCATAAAATGTTGAACATAATCCACTAATATAAGAATTTATTTAAATTGTAAACTTGTGGAATTTGGTGAAATGAAGATCATGGCTGATTAGAACCGGTTCAGCAGAGTGGTGTTAGTGGATGCCAGACTGGTTAGGAAAAAATGTGGAGGGTGGGTGATAAAAAGTGGCAAGGTAGCCAGGCGTTGGTGGCGCACACCTTTAATCCCAACACTCCGGAGGCAGAGGCAGGTAGATCTCTGTGAGTTCGAGGCCAGCCTGATCTACAGAGTGAGTTCCAGGGCAGCCAGGCTACACAGAGAAATCCTGTCTCCAGAAAAAAAAAAGGAATTAAATGGGTGAACACATTTTTTTAGTTAAAGGAGATGGTGATGCGTATCTAGAATAGATGTCAGAGAGATGGACTGGAGGGCAGAGTCAAGGGCACACAGAAGAGGCAACAGTTTGAGCGAGAGTAACAGAAAGCAGGTGCAGAAGGCTTGCCTTGGCCAGACAGGAAGCCAGACAAGGCCACACCAGCCCCGCTGCTTTCAAACAGGGAGGGGAGGCAGTGTCACTGTGGTGACACTATGCAGATGACAGCAGAGTGGGAGACTTGGAGAAGATGGTGAGAGTTGGGGAGCCTTTCTGGGAGAAGATGGAGTAAGCCGCAGACCACACAGGCTAAAGGGCGATCCTGTAAGGCATGGGGAGGCTTCTGGAAAGAATACCAGATTGAGCAACAGAAAAGCTAAGCCCCGAGTCCAGCTCAGCCGCCAGTAAGTCTTCTGAACTCAAGTCTCACACCAGCCAACTGGATATTTGGCTACGTGGGCTCTTGAGTCTCAAGAGACCACACTCAGATAGGCAGATGTCAACAATGTCAGCAGTCACTGCCATCTCCTTTCCTGTTGACTCTGAGTAGAAGGAAGAGTCTCCTTGCTCTCCTACGATAGCCAGGTGATTAGGCTAGTGAAAATATTTTTTAGGTGCCATAGAGATGGCTCAGTGCTTAAGAGCACACTTACTACTCTTGCAGAGGACTGGGGTTCAATTTCCAGCACCCACAAGATGACTCACAACTGTCTGCAACTCCAGATTGGGATGTTCTCTTCTGGCTTCCACCAGCGCCAGTCATGCACACAGCACACATATACACATCAAGAAAACCACTCATGCATATAAAATACACCTTTATAATAATCATATATTTAACTGTTGTGTCCATTTATCCCACTCACCCCCATAACCATGGATCTGGCAAATTAAGCTCCTCCCATGAAGGCGGTGTGCTGGTGTCATTCATACACAGCGTCAGTCTGCAGAAGTTATAAGGCGACTGATACTTCCAACAGCTTCTGGTATGCTTGGACTAATGACTGGCTCCCCCATCACTTCCCTATCCTCTTCCCTATCTGTATCTTTAATTGACTGTTTTCCTACCTAAAATGCCCTTCCCTATCTGGTGATCTTTTACTTGTTCTTCAGTGTAAGCCAAATGTCATTTCCTCTACTAAGCTTTTTTTTAGCAGAATCAATTATTTCTCTTTTCTTCTCCTCTCCTCTCCACTTCTCTGCTCTCCTTTTGCCTCCTTCCCCCTCACTATTTTGAGACAGGGTATCACTATGTATCCTGGCTACCCTGGAACTAACTAATGTGTAGACTTCAAAGATCTGTTCACCTTGCCTCCCAAAGACTGAGATTAAAGGTGTGCACCACCACACCTTTCTCATATTTTTATGATACTCTTTTGGGTTTTTTGAGACAGGATTTCTTTGTGTAGCCTTGATTGTTTTGGAACTTGCTCTGTAGACCTGGATGGTTTCAAACTCACAGAGATCCACCTGCCTCTACAGAGTGTCAGGATTACAGGTGTGAGCCACCACCGCCACCTGGCTGAGTTTTATTAAATTCTTGAGACAGCCACCCTAGGATATCCCCAATGGACAGGCTACTTTCTGATGGTCCAGCCTTAGTTATTATGTCTTATTACCTGTAGTAAGGCCCACGTGACTGCCGCCATAGCAAAAAGGCACATCACTACATTCTACATGGGGAAGGGATAGCCATGTTGGAACTGCTCCCATGATGTTCCGCTTCAGACGGCTCCATTGCATACCTTACTACTCATAGCAAGAACCAGGAAATTATTCCTCTCAAGCCCTTTAGTTCTACCATGCCCATGTTTGAGCACCAATTTGTTGTGCTAACTTTTTCCTGGAGAGACATGAATAATCTATTCACTTCAGGTAGGACACTGATGCAGAACAAAATAATAATTCCACTGATGTCCCACTTAGTAAATAAGTTTAATCGGCTTATTTACAGAGGAAGGGCTGGGGATTCATTGAAGGATTATGGGTAGCCTCAAAACAGCTGCATCACTGTAAAGTTCAGCCCCATTGCAGACACCAAACTCATAGAAACTGCATTGTGGAATCTCCTATTATCTTTCATATACATTTGTATAAGCACTGGGGTTAGTTGCAGCTTCAAAACCCTCATTTTCTAGATGGTAAAATATAATCAGCCCCATCTCAAATCATCTCCTTAGCATAAAGTCTACCATGAGTCTACCATGAACAACAAAGGCACACTCATCACTCAAGAAATCCCAAAGATTTAGAAACTCCCACCAAGAGGGGCTGGAGAGATGGCTAAGCAGTTAAGAGCATGTTACTCTTGCAGAGGACCAGAGTTTGGTTCACAGTATCTACACCAGGCAGCTCACAGCTATAACTCCAGCTCCAGGGATCTGATGCCTGTGGCCTCTGCAAACAGCTGAGCTCTTATGGACACATGAATTTGTTCTGATGTCCATACACAGATACACATAACTAAAAATAAGGTAAAATATTAGAGGAAGAAAGCAAGTTCTACCCAGAAAGGTAGGGTCAAGACAAAACACAGTAATGTTTAATTCAGTTTGGTGATTTAGGCTATATCCAGGAAAGAAAACACAGATACATCCATTGCTATGGACTAGTATCTCTTTTGATCTTACCCTCAAATGATCATGCAAATATTTTGGCCCATCATAACAAGCCCATGCCCAACTGATTCTTTATCTTCCTTTTATCTTTCTGGGTACTGTGGCCCAGTCAAAAAAAGGTAAGAGAAATGGCTTCTCTCTATTCTCAAATCCTGAGGAACTGCATAGAAATATGGCTTCCTACAACAGTAGTCTCAATGGCTAAGGAAATAGCTCAGCATTCAAAAGCACGTCCTACTCTTCCAGGGAACCTAAATTCAGTTTCTAGTACTCACATGGGATGTCTCATAACTGTCTGTAACTTCAAGATACACAACACCCTCTCCTGGCCTCTGTGAGTACACACACACACACACACACACACACACACACACACACACACACATTTTTTTAAAACAAATAGTATCATAATTTAGAAAGGGAACTATTTTGAACCGGGCATTGGTGGCTCATGCCTTTAATCCCAGCACTAGGGAGGCAGAGGCAGGCAGATCTCTGTGAATTTGAGACCAGCCTGGTCTACCAAGCAAGTTCCAGGACAGCCTCCAAAACAATACAGAGAAACCCTGTCTCGAAAAAAGAGAGAGAGAGAGAGAAAGAAAGGGAACTATTTTGAAAAGATGAGGTGGTAAGAGTCAGAGAGCTGGCATTTTCATTATCAATCAATGTCCCACCAGGACCCATCCTGGGCAACTTTCTTAGACCTAAGTAATGAATTGTCTTGTTCTTGCAGTAGAAACAGGATCCTAGTAACGACGAATGCCTTAAAATATGACTGAACCAGCAGCATTAGCATCATCTAGGAGCATGTTAGTAATGGATCTCACCTCCCCATAACTTCTAAATGAGACCTGAATTCTAACATGATCTGTATGTGATTTGCATGCACCATAACCATGGAGAGTGCTCTAATGTCTTCTGGTGCAATCATAAAGACCCTTAACAGAGCCACCACTTTTGCCTTCCCAGAAAGCCACTTGATAAAATTGGATGACAATCGAGGAGATGGTCCCGTACTTCTGACATGTGACTTGAAAGACATGGCTATCATGTGGTCTAAAGACGGGAGCACAATCAGTCCCTACAACACAACTAAAAACACGTGGAATCTCGGAAGTATTGCCAAAGACCCTCGAGGCACTTATTGGTGTCAAGGAGCAAAGGACAAATCAAAGACACTCCAACTGTATTACAGAAGTATGTAACACTTTCACAATGGTTGTTGGGAATTCAGCAGTGCTTACTGTTCTAGTGGGCTTACCATCTAGGATGTGGTGGTTAACAGTTGCTAAACAGTGATTTATGGTAATAATCATAGCTAGTTCTCTTTGCGTGGGGTTACTACTCTTTATAGCAACACTTCCTGAGAAAGTATAGCCCTGTACAAACTGCTCAACCTTTGGGTGCTCATCGTGGACTGAGCAGTTCATCAAATAAATCAGTTAGGAGGGGATCCGGGATTGGAGAGCAGGGTTGTTGAGACTCGAGACTAGATCTTTCCTCTTCTTCACCTAGTTTTTTTTTTTTTGGTTTTTACGAGACAGGGTTTCTCTGTATTGTTTTGGAGGCTGTCGGTCCAGCCCGGCCTCGAACTCACAGAGACCCGCCTGCCTCTGCCTCCCGAGTGCTGGGATTAAAGGTGTGCGCCACCACCGCCCGGCCCACCTAGTTCTTGATTATAGGACTGTTTAGGCTTCCCTGGGACTTCTCACAGAGGAACATTGGGAAGCAACAGTTCTTGGGGCAAGGATCCTCTGTTGCCATACCACACATAGAGGGAGAAGCCTGCTGCCCAGGGCAACGGCAGTGGTGCTGATGAGTGGGAGAAAGGAAGGGAAAATGCAAGAATGCCTTACATCCTAAAGCTGTCTATCACTTCCTGTATCTTGTTCCCCACAGTGTGTGAGAACTGCATTGAGATAAATATAGGCACCATATGCGGTTTTATCTTCGCGGAAATCATCAGCATTTTCTTCCTTGCTGTTGGTGTATACTTAATTGCTGGGCAGGATGGAGTTCGACAGTCAAGAGGTAAATAAAAAAAAAGCTAGATGTGGAGGTACATGCTTGTAATCCTAGATACTTCAGAAGCTGAGGCTGGAGGGCCCTGAGTTCAAGGCCTGCCAAGGCAACAGAGAAATGCCTTGTCTTAAAATAAAATTTGTAAAGGGCTGGAGATATACTTCAGTTAGTAGACTGCTTACCTGGTTTGCACAATGCCTAAGGTTCAATCCCCAGAACACACAAACCAGATGTGGTAGCATATGCCTATAATCCCACCACTCAGGAGATGGAGGCTAGAAAATCAGAAGTTCAAGGTCATTTTCAGCTACATAGAGAGTGTGAAACCAACCTTGTCTACATAAGACCCTGTCTCAAAATGAAGAGGCAACTGGAGATGTGGCTCAGCTACTAGAGCACCTGCTTAGCTTGCTTCAAGCTCTGAATTGATTCAGTCCCTAGCATGGAATAAAACTGAGTATGGTGACCCAAGCCCGTAATACCAGTATTTAGAAGGTACAGATAAGAGAATCCGAAGGTCAAGGTCATTCAAAGCTACATAGGACAGTCTAGGCTACCTGAGACCCTATCTAAAAAAAATCCACATAAATAAATAATGGGGGGCTGTAGCTTTGTGTAAAACACTTATGTGGCTTGTGTGATGCCTGAGATCATTCCTAGAAAGAAGTAAAAGACTGTCTTGAGTTGAAAAACGGGACCAACTAAAGAACCTTGGCTTCCTTCTTATCAAAACAGACCCATCAGGGAGACTGAGTTGATGTATATTACTAATGTTCATAATTGATGACCCTATGTTTCTGTGAGGCAGGAAAAAAAGACATTTCTTATTATCCCAGCATATCTGAATATTTGACTAGCCTAATCTGACCTCTTTTTCTTTTCCTTCCTTCCTTCTTTCTTTCCTTCCTTCCTTCTTTCTTTCCTTCCTTTCTCTCTTCCTTCCTTCCTTTCTTCCTTTCTTAAATATCTTCCTCCTCCCTTTCCTCCTCCTCCTCCTCCTTCTCCTCCTCCTATTGTTGTTGTTGTTTTATTGAGACAGGGTTTTATAAGGTAGCCCTAACTGGAACTCATTATGTAACTCAAATCCCTGCTGTTTTTCCCAAGGAGTGAGATTACAGGCACAAGTTGCCATGCTTGATCTCTCTCTGTGTTTTAATACTTTACCGAAGACAGGCATAATGGCATATATGCCTTTAACCCCAGCACTCCAGAGGCAGAGGCATGTGGATCTCTGTGGATTTAAGGCCAGCGTCTATATATCAAGTTCCAGGCCAGCTAAGGGTTACATAGTGAGTCCCTGTCTCAAAAAACAAAATTATTTTTTGAAGCCAAGTGTAGTGTCTCACATCTGTAATCCTAGCACTGAGGAAGCTGAGACAGGAGTATCACCTCAAGCTTGAGGCTATCCTGGTCTACATAGAGAGTCCCAGGCCAGTCAGAGTTACATTGTGAGATCCTGCTCTGAAGAAAGAAAGAAGAAAGGAAAGAAAACATTCTTTTAAAAAAATCTTATGTAACTGTACCTTGTGCTTCTGATTCACCTGCTTCTGCCTTCCAAGTGTTGGGATCACAAGTAAATGCTGCAACACCCTGTACATGCAGTGTTGGAAACAAACTCATGACCTCATACATGCTAAGCACTCAACCAACTGATCTGCATTCCCAAGCCCCCAAGAAGAGTTTTATTGAAGTAAAACTGGATATACACAAAAAATGAATCACAAGAATACTGCTAAAATAAAACTAACAAAACAAACATATGGGTGCATCTGGCACCCAGTTTGAGAAACAGTATTACCTCCATAAAAACCCACTGAAGGTCACTTCCAGCCACTACCTGTCCCTAAGCATGAACACTATCCTGACCTCTGACCTCCAACCACAGAGATGTTTTGCTTTTCTCTAGTTTTTTGTGGAAATGAACCTGTGCGGTACACACCCCTGTGTGTAGCCTCTTTTGCTCAACTATGTGCTTTTGAGAACGATTCCTATTCTTACGTGCAGACAATTCTTACACTACTTAGAATTCCACTGTGTGCATAATTCAATATATTATCATTCTGTCTTTGAATGTGTATTTTGTCTATTTTTTGTGCAGCCTCAGACAAGCAGACTCTGTTGCCTAATGAACAGCTCTACCAGGTAAAGAACCAGGGATGAGAAAAACAGTGCTACAGTTGGTTGGGGTGGACCTTCAGTGCTCTGGCAAGTTCTCTGGAAGTTACTGTAGGGATAAAGAGTCACTTATGGCATGCCCCATAATGGAATGGTTGCTGCATTGGATAGCACAGTAAACATAAAGGAAAAGACTAAGAGAGACCGAGGTAGGATCTGGTGAGAAAAAGCTGAACACACTGACTGAGAAAGACACACAGAAACTCCAGAGGGACCCTCCCTCTCCTCCTTCTCTTTTGGCTCCCAGGGCTGTGAAGCAACCAAAGTTTTGTTCACAAAAATATGTGATGAATGCGCTTCACATTAGTTAACAAAGTATAGAAACATGAGTTGATGCTGCTGCTGTCCTATTCAGCCCCTCAAGGATCGGGATGACGACCAATATAGCCATCTCCAAGGAATTCCACTGAGGAGGAAGTGAGCTCAACACGACTCAAAGTAGGTGAGTTCTTCACCATTCATCCCGGGGCTGTGCCTCTGCATGATCTGCATGCTTCCTAGCTGCTGCCCAATCTCTTTTTCCAATAAGGATGAGAAGTGGGGTGCAGAGAGTTGACTGCGGAGTCTCTTTTCTAAAGTCACTGGTACCAGGACCGATTGAATACATGGATGCTATGAGCATCTGTAAATCCTGAGAACAGAACCTCAAGCCACAGAGATGCTGAACATTAATCTTAACCTCATTAAGTTCTTTGAACATCCACAGTTGTTCTTTGTGATAAGGGACTTCCTGGCCATTACAGCAACATCCTTGGTCTCTATGTGCCTGGTGGCACTCACTCACAACACACACACACACACACACACACACACACACACACACACACCCTCCATGTGATGAGCAAAAATGTGTTAGACACTAACCAGTGACCCCTCTAAGTCAAAACTACCATCAAGACCTAAAGACCAAACTGAGCATAACGGAGCATGCCTTTAATCCCCAGTCCAGAGGCGGTTCTGTGAGTTCCTGGCTATCTTGCTTGGGGGAGTGGGGGAGGAGAGAGACAGAGAGAGAGAGAGAGAGAGAGAGAGAGAGAGAGAGAGAGAGAGAGAGAGAGAGAGAGAGAGAGAGAGAGAGAGGAGAAAAATAAAAAATCAGGAGAAGGGGATGGAGGGAGAGGAAAAAAGAAACACCTGAAAACTTTTATTAACTTTTTTAATCAACCTCACAGCCAATCAGAAGTTCTGATTCAATCAACCCTTCACAAGTGTCAATCAGGAAAACACCAACTGGTTTTCTGACCAAGTGCAAATTTTCTTTCTCATTCCAGGTGTTGTCCCTTGCATCCAGTATCCAGGATCAGAGCAATGTGTTGTGGCAGGGAGGGAGAACCGTCAGAGAAAGCGTGGGGTTTTCTCAAAATAAAATAAAAGTCCAAGCTTGGGGAAGCTGGCAGCGTAACTCAGTAATAGAGCACTTGTCGAGTTTGCTTAAGTCTCTGTGTTAGATTCCCAGCACCCTCTCCCCAGACCCCCAAAAAACAGTGAAGGAAGTACAAGCACAGTGTAGTGTTTGCAGAGCGCCATCTATTGGGGAAAATTGTAAAAGACAAAATTAAAAGAGCAAGTATAACCCACCTCTCTGTCCAAACAGACGTTTTCTTCTTTTCAACATTCATCAGGTTCTTATACTGTTCATAATTCAGTAGATCAATATGGCAGTGGAGTGGCTCATCAGGTAAAAGTGTTTGCCACACAAGCCTGTAGACCTGAACTGGACCTTCCAAAAAGTCAAAAAAGAAGCCGGGCGGTGGTGGCACACGCCTTTAATCCCAGCACTCGGGAGGCAGAGGCAGGATGATCTCTGTGAGTTTGAAGCCAGGCTGGACCGACAGCCTCCAAAACAATGCAGAGAAACCCTGTCTCATAAAAAAAAAAGAAAAGAAAAAAAAAAGTCAAAAAAGAGAGCCTACTCCACCATGTTGTTCTCATGCGGACCATACACATCCCTATCCATACATATCACACACTCTATATTAACAATAAACAAAAACATAATAATCATCCTAACTCTGAATTACACATGTAGTATGAAGTGGAAGGTCTCCTCCCACCTGGATCCCCAGCCACAGGCAAGTGAGTTTTTGTTTGTTTATTTTGTTTTTTGTTTTGTTTTACGAGACAGGGTTTCTCTGTGTTGTTTTGAAGGCTGTCGGTCCAGCCCGGCCTCGAACTCACAGAGACCCGCCTGCCTCTGCCTCCCGAGTGCTGGGATTAAAGGTGTGCGCCACCACCGCCCGGCAGCAAGTGAGGTTTTGCACATGTTCTCAGGTATACTCTAAGCATGTAAGAACAGTTCTTAGGTACACTTCATTCTCCCTTCCCTGTTCTTCACAACAGTGACAACTACTATATATCTTACATTTTCTCCCAATCCAACCTAAAGATTATGAAGCAGAATAAGGCAGAAACAGACAATTATTGACTATTGATTTGTTTAGTGACTTGCTTACAGTGCTACTTGCACTGCCTATTTGCCAAGCATGGGATAGAACGGCATGGAGAAATAACCAAATAATGAGTGGTTGCCCTGAACCTGCTGGCTGCCACGTACGCTTCTGTAAAAGGATGCTTGCGTGCTCATCCCACTTTGTAGTCTTAAATATAAAATGAGAATACAAGCGGGGACCCAGGATCAAGGCCTTTGAAGAGACGTCCTCTCTTCCACTCTGCTCTCATTGCTGTTGTGGTGCTTATCCCACAAAGATATCAGCATTTCTGGATTGCCCCCACCCAGTGAGATCTCCTTCACCTTGTCCCCAGTTGGTCCTGAAAGCTGTCGCTCTTGGATCTCTCAGGCTGCCAAAGGTCTCTGGGACTGGGAAGCATGCAAGATTCCAGGAGCCCTTTCTAGTGGCCAAGAGGACTGTGAGACCCAGAGCTGGAGTCTCCGAGTGGAAGAAGGTGGGATTAGGCAGGATGGCCAGACCCGGGGGAAATGGGCAGGAAAGCCGGCATGGGGTTAATCCCCCACAGGTTTTGCATTCATAGCCTTGATGGGATACTGAGGTGGCACTGGTCGATAAAAAAAGTTAGATAGGTCTCCAGGGAAACAGACAGACTGAGAATCTAGAATGAGAATGTATAATCTCTGAACGAATGGTGAATGCTTGTAATGGTCCTACAGCTCTGTGGCTACAGGGTCTGATTGAGCCCCAACTTAAGGTTTCACCTGAACAGGCACTCATCTCCAATAATAAGAGGTGACAGGGATATACGTGTAGCCCCTAGGTAAAACCTTAAGTTGTCACAAGACCGGCAGAGGACTAGATGCATATAAACTCCTCCAGCCCATGGGTAGGGAACTCTTCTCACCATGAGGTTTGCACAGTCCCTCTGTGAGACCCCACAGTCTTGAGAAAACAGTTAAGCATGAAGAACAAAGGAAGCACCCCCATTAGCAAAATGAAATTTTGCCCATGTTGCTGCCTACCTACCAGCATTGAAGCACGACCATCTGTTCCTGCTCCTGCAGTGGCATCTTCCCCGATGCAATGCTCACCAACCTCATCTGGTGGCAGCTCTCTCAGACTCTGGACCTCTGTGTTCAAGAGACAGAGGAAAGAAGATCTCTGAATTCCAGGCCAGCCTGGTCTACAGAGCAAGTTCCAGGATAGCTAGGACTACACATAGAATATATATATATATATATATATATACATATATATATATATATATAAATTAAGAGCAGAAATTATGTTTGGCTACCTTCCTCTACTGCTTCCAAAGGACTCAAAGAACCTCCAAGAGTATGGATCCGGGCTGGAGAGATGGCTCAGCGGTTAAGAGCATCGGCTGCTCTTCCAAAGGTCCTAAGTTTAATTCCCAGCAACTACACTGACTCACAACCCTCTATAATGAGGTCTGGTGCCCTCTTCTGGCCTGCAGGCAGACATGCAGGCAGAACACTGTATACATAATAAATAATAAATCTTTTTAAAAGAGTATGAACACACACACCTGCCTCCAGCGTCTCTTAAAAGATTTGGCTGACACTGCACAAAAATTGTCCATGCTACAGCTCTTGAAGTTGCAGGTGTCAAGCTGTGGATACATCAAGCCAGAATGTGCTGTGAAAGTTTACTCAGACTAGCTGACCCAGACTGCCCTCTGAAGTTGATCAGCTAGCTCAAAGAATCTCAGAATGGAGACAACAACTCAGCTCCTACTCTGCCTATTCACATGGACACACATCCGAACCAGCCCCAATTCAGCTAACCTTGTCACATAGATTAGTCTGGAGAGCAACCATTAGTGCCTTAGGGTATGCCCCTACTAGGAATAGACAAGCCAGGTATTATCTCTCTAACCTCATCATGCTGTGACAGAACTGCCCACACCAGTAACACAGACTGTGATTCCTTGTGACAGCCTATGGATGAGTGACCAGAGGCCAAAGGAACACTTGTGGATTGTTGTGGAGGGGGACCTATTGGTCTTATCTTAAATACTGGTCATAACAATCATGCATAATCTTTGCCATGAATCTTTTCTCTCTCTGCAAGACAGCTCCCACAGAGGACAAGGAGTCAACAGGTCTTTGTTTGGAGGGAACCAGAGAAGAATATGTGGAAACTGATCATAGAAAAACCCTTCATCTGGGGAAGACATGTCTTAAATGCTGCCTTTAGTAAATGCCAGCCATGAGCTCCTTTGCCTAAGTCATGACTGCTGGATATGTTTACATGCAAGCCAGGTCACTTAGACTGGCGTAGGAATGATTAACCAAAGCCCAACTAACAACACAAAAGGAATGTGTTTAACTGGGCCACTTGATCAGGCCATAAGAAAAGCTCAGTGTGTGGGAAATGAAAAGGGCTGTACCAGACCAGTTAAAAGAACAGTAGTTTTGCCCAACGGTGAGGCATCCCAGCTTTTGGGAGGCACACGAAGAGGCAGGTGGATCTCTGTGAGTTTGAGGCCAACCCAGTCTACAAAGTGAGTTCCAGGGCAGCCAGAGCTACACAGACAAACCCTGCCTCAAAAAAAAAAATAGTAGTCCTAACAGCAAAGACTCACCTGCCCCAATGGTATTTACTCCTGTTGCCAGAAGACAGTTGCAGACTGTCCTTAGATATGCTCCCAGGAAGCAAGGTCCAGCAATGCTTACACACCTTAGACTCAAGATATAAGAGAATTCCTGTACTTTTACTAGTCCTGCTAGAAATGGTCCTGACTGGGTCCATGCCCACGACTGCCACTACAATAGGTAGCCAACAAGTTCAACATAGCCAACTCTCTACTCAGACCAAGAAACACTTACCTATTTATTGTTCAGAAAAATATAATCACTCATCACAATTAAATAGATTCATGGACAGCAACAGTTCTCCAAAATCCTAGAATATTAGACTTGATTGCCACTTAAAAATTAAGATATTTACTTGGTTTTAGATGAGAAGTTTCGTTTTTAATATTAATCAGTCAGGAATAGCACAAAAATGCAGAAAAGTTATTTAAAAGGATCAAAAAGGCATAAGGGAGAGCCACTGGAGTACAACGCAATCCAATCATGAGATCGTTGCCTATGTCCTTTTTTTTTCAGTTTTTAGGGCTTTGCTGTTTTAGCCTTAACAGAAAATGTCATTTTGAACATGTGTAAAATATTAGTAATACATAGGAATAAAGGGTATAGTTGGAAAATATCAGTACCTGTACTTTTATTAAAGTAAAATTCACAGCACAGTCACTGTATCAATGCACACTACCAATGACAGCAAGCACGTGCCTGTTCCTCCTATGCTTCTGTGTTATCAGTGTTTTGTTGAGGCTTGAGATGTGCCAGTTGCAGTTGCTTGGTTTTTTTTTAAATCATTGGGGGCCTGCTACCCAGCTCCCAAATAAATACATGGAGACATATCCTTACTTATGAATGCCCAGTCTTAGCTTGGCTTGTTTCTAGCCAGCCTTACTAATTTAAATTACCCTGTTTCTTTTCTAAAATTTGCCTCTGAGTTTTTTACCTTTCTTTATTCTGTGTATCTCCTTTGCCTCCTTGCTCCGTGGCTGGCTGGGAGGCTGGCCCCTGGTGTCCTCCTCTCCTTCTCCTGCTCTTGTGCCTCACTCTTATTTTGAACCTAGATTTCTCCTCCCATTTGTTCTCTCTGCCTGGCAGCCCCACCTATCCTTTCTCCTATCTAGCTATTGATCATCCTACTCTTTATTAGGCCAATTGGGTGTTTTAGACGAGCAAAGTAACACAGCTTTACAGAGTAAACAAACACACCGTAAAAAATGCAACACATCTTTACATCATTAAACAAATATTCCACAGTGTAAACAAATATAACATATTTTAAACTAATATTACACAACAGCCAGTATAATTTTAAGGGGGTATCTTGGTATATGGCTGTTTGTTTGGTTGAGTTCAGGCAGCCTAGGTTAGCCTCAAACTCACTGTATAGCAGAGGATGACCTTGAATGTTCAGTCTTCCTGCCTCCATGTCCCAAGCGCTGGAATTACAGCATGCTCCACTCAGTATAGTTTTAATTTTCATTTTACTTACTAAGACTAAGAATCAACATTTGTTTTTCTTTTATATAAAATACAGGATCACATATTTTAGAGGATTTT